TATTCCCTAAGCACRGCATGTTAAAAAGCCAAGCAGATAAAGCAAATGCACAAACTTTCAGGGAACAGTCAGACCAAACACAGGATTAGAAGCAATCTGTGGGCAGGCAGACACATCTGCACCAGGTCTGCACACAAGAATACTGTTCAAAGCTCCGGCTGCAATCTCAGCTTTCTTTCATTTTTAATTAATGAACAAAGTATCACAAAGCAGAATGCRTGCACATTCATTCCAAGGATAACATTACATCTGCTGCTGCTGCTTCCATTTATTACTTGATAGGCCAGATTCTTAGGGTAGTTTTATTTTAAACTGAATACCAGAAAGAAAAATTCATCTTATAGCTGTCAATGTACAGCCCAGCTTTCACCACCCAGACAAATAAGCATCTCATCTTTAACCATGACACTCTCTTGGAACAGAAYATGCTTGGAAAGCCCACATGAACACAAGGGATACAACTGAACATCATTTGCCCCTCTCCATTTAAAAGGCAATTCAGTCATTCATTCCCATGTACAAGTTAGAGAAGAAACATGCCTGGCTGGTAACAGGTTAAACAATTTATCTAATACATGTAGGCATAGATTYCAATCCAAAGAGTAAGATACATCCTAACAATTTTATCTTTAGAACTGTATTGTTCAACATCCCTGAATATAAAATAACCCTTCACATTCATTTCTACATCTCATATAGTATCTTTGTGCATTGCTTTTACTGGAGACCCTACATGAGTGTAGTAAACACAGAAAAGTCACTAAAGCAACCTCAAACTAAAATAAAACCTTCTGACTCGGCTGTGTGTAACAACTGCTGTRTTTTACTCCAAATGACTCTGCATGTCCTCATATTTGAAGCTATTATGTGTCCATCCCCAAGTAAGACATGACAGTTACTTTAAGCCTCTTCTGAAAYAGACCACAGAACGGTCTGGACTACTGAAAGAATTCTAATACACAGATGTGACTGTTTTATTTGAGACTGGGAAATATAGAGAATAATTTTACACAAGAGCTCTGCCTCCACATCTGGAGATGTTTACTAACACTTCCCAGAGTTTCTAACTCCAGTCTAATCAGAGCTCTGTCCTTCCCCAGAAGTGATGCATTTATTCTTAACATAGACACAGGCAAAATGAATCTAATATTTACGCCCACTTCCCTCTGAACTGAGCGTGCACTTTTTTGCAAAGCTTTGTGTCACATTAGGCAATTAATAGCACTAAAAATTAAGCATAAATTAATTTTTCTTTCCTTCCTAAAAATGCTTTAAGAAAACAGTGTAAAGACCAAACAACCTGAAATAAGAGCAAAGCTTCTACACCTTCCAGAATCTGACTCCTATAACCATGAATTTATTTCAACTAGCAATTGTTTTTTCTTAATATATTCATATTGAWCTTTCTATACCAATTACTTAACAATTGTATAGAAATGCAATTCAGCAGTCATGACCTTCCTGTGGGAACCACTGACAATCTTCAGTGAAGCAAACATAAGGTATGCTCACAAGCGTGGTGATAAAAAAAAAAGCTTCAAGTCATCAGGGACTTGCATACTTGATTACAGCATGCATGGATGAACAGGCCCTAAATCGTGACTTGCTCAGTATTTCTCTTTCTCTGATGAGTAAAACATTCCTATATTAATATACAGAGGTGAAGTTAGCTCTGTCAATATGTCTTACTGCTCATTGGCCAACAAAAACTCCATAAGTGAGCATGGGTCCCAATCTCCCTTTAGTTCCATTTAAAGTAACTTATTTTTTAAGGTTTCACTAGCACAGGTAGGTTTTCTGTGAGGTATAACCAAGTCACCATTAGCTTTAAACTGTGTTTTCCTTAGTATAACTTCTCTCTCTAAACCTTCACCTGCTTTCCTCTCCTTTCAAAATGGCATCTTCCCATCCTATTACACTGATTACATCAATCCTTCCCCACTCASATCACCCTGAGCTGTGTTTGGTTCACTATTTGAAATACAATTTAAATAATTTCATAGTACAGTTCCACCCTGACCTTAATTGAATATTCTGGCATATCAGGAGTACCATCAACTTATGGCATCAACATGTGCATCTAAAATTTCTCATCAAGAATGAACAGCCAAAYACATAGCAAAGATTATWAAAAAAAAATCCCTCCAATTTGTTTGGAGCTGYTCCTCTTTCAGAAATCAGTGCTTGCCACCCTAAGTTTTAATTCTATGGAGCACAAAATGTCTACTTTCCTTATTCATCTACACAACACCTAATACAAGGAAAACTACAGGAAAAATAACCATGGCTTTAATATAAGTTAGAAGCATAAAAATTAGCTCCTTAAAACGAGGTCTAACAGTATCTCAGTAACATTCAGGCCACCCCAACCCCTTTTAGAGATCTCACAGTCACAGATGATGTCCAGTAAATTCCTGGTAAAATGCATTCTTGTTTAATCAAAAACACAGATTTTTCCAGGTACACCTCAATACTGACTTAACTCTTCCTAGCATCGCTCACGTAAAAAAGAACAACTACTAACAGAGCTCTTCAGTGTTTAGTACTTTTAAAAATCATACAATTGAGTGGCATTTTAACTAAACAAGCCTACATTTCAGCAACAGCCAATTGGAAAGCACCTCTTCCTAACAAGCTCTTGGCCTCTTTTTTTCCATTACTGCTACTTCTGTGATGGTTTAAGGAGCTGTGTGAACCAGAAACTTTGTAGTTGACTCCGCAAAAGTCTGATTGTAATTAAACGTAATACTTCAAACATATGCAAAATACAGGGCTARAGAAAAGCCAAAGATTTATAAATAGAAATTTCACCTGTGATAGCTTGCAAAAGAACACTTACTAAGATTACTTAAAATTAATAACGACTCTACRTCGCAGACGCCAAGTATTTGAAACACAGATTACAGATCAAATCAATACCATTTTGAGCACCTTTGACAGGCAGTTTTTTTGATCAGCTCCAGATAAGCTCATAACTGAGTCATCACTGCCTGGTTCCATGAGAACACGGGCCTAACTAGTTTCCTTTTCTTTACATGCTTGTGTATCTACACCTTTGGATATTTCACAACTGCAACAAGAGCATTAACTCAATTAGTTTCTATGGTATAATTACACCGCCGGGGGTTTGGCCTCACGCCTTAGAACAGCCTTGCAGTCATGACCTAGAAAGACACTGTCTAGCTGGTCTCACTGCTCCAGGGCATCACATCAGAACAGCARTAACAACGTGAACAATGTTCAGTGYTGATCTACATTGGTCTATGTAGGCAATTCTTAAAACACTTGTAGCTTGCTAAATTACAGCTTGCTTACACTGACAAGTTACTAATTGACTAATCAACTCTCAAACAGCTCCATTCTATGCAACTCAGAATTGAGCCCAGGAGAGTAATTTGGTTGGTTATGACAGTCAGAGGCTCTAAGGTTACTGAATCCTGTTAAATCCTTAAGCAATGTCTTCGAAGCCATATATTTAAAAATCACAAATTAAATGCCACTAGAGGATTTGTTTACTTCTCAGAGAGCCAACTTTGAGTTTTTACTCCTAGAGTTTTAGCATAGTCTGGTTAAGACCTCAAGGTTTTCTTCAGAATCATCACAGCTAAGAAGAWCTTTATCTAACTGAAAACTGACTTTTTTTAACTTTCACAAGCAGAGATGCAGCTTTCAAAAAAACCTAAATTTATCCTGTTACAGTTGGAAATGCTACTTTTACCATGAACATTCCCACCTAGACAGCAACAATACACAGGAGAAAAAGGAACCAAAATAAAACAAAATGTGATTTGTATATTAGTAACATGCAAATAGGAGTTTGYATGAAGGCCATCGAAGTTAACAAAAGCACTGAGTCTGCCTTCCACACCACTTGGATCTGGCCAACAATGAAGAAAGATATGCAAAAAGGGAGAGAGGGTGGGTGCACTGCATCCTGCCAAGTAAGCACTGCGGCCTTACGCCAAAGGGAAAGCAAGGCCTGTACCAAGAAAGAGAATGATGTGGGAGTTACATCAAAGACTTCAAAAGAAAATTTTAGCGTAACCCCAACACTGCTGCAAACCTTGAAACAGATTAGCTTGTAGGAAATCAAACATCTCACAATAAATCATTAACACTAATGCCATACTTAAACTTGCATTGTCCGCAACATCAGGTTCCTGCCCCCRTTTCACAAACACACTAATACTTATTTTGCATATATATTGTGCTTTGCAGTCATTGACTGCAAATCATCCATTTGTGTAATTTCTAGGAACTTAGAAAGAGTTGATCTGTACACAGGAAGCATAAAAATATTCTAAGTGGAAAAATCACAGCTAACACAGAGAAACATTCATCTGGGATGTCTGCCCTACGTTTTCAGCATTTACCAAATTTCTGTAAGGACTAATAATTTCTATAAGGAACACTACAGACCTTAGGTGAACATTCGGCCATAGCAGGATACCAACAAGTTAGGTAATCAATGTATGTATCCAAAATTTCTCATCAAGAATGAACAGCCAAACRCATAGGATTCTAATGAAGGAGTACCACAGATTCCAGTTAGGGAATCACCATGCCTGTCTGGCAAAACAAAATCCATGTCCTCCAGAAAAAATTTACAACCTAGTCACATTTCACAACATCATGGTGACACCAAGAAACTAACAACACCCACAATAGCATACTCCAGGCCAAAGCCTGGCTGCTGCCACATAATTTTAAGAACATTAAAAAAAAAAAAAAAAAAAAAAAAAAAAGTCTTATGAACACGTTATAGATTAGTTGCAAGACGACAAACCGCAGGGCAGCAGGGTCTAATGTTAACACTGAAGGCCACCATAAAACCCCGCGCCCCCGGGCCCCCCCGCGCCTCCGCCCCGCAGGTACCGCGGGCAGGAACCGCCCCGTTAATGCTCCTCAAGGCCCCAACAACGAGCAGCCTCACTAAGTTAATTAACAGCAACACACTCTCTAATTGCGTGCCCTCTCTGGTGACTCACTCAAAGGCTCACCCCGGGGATGGATGGATGGATGGATGAATGAGGAGGAGGTTGAGATGTGCAGGGGAGGAAGGATGGAAGGAGAGTGGGAGCAGCTTGTGGTGCCCGGTCCCCCCACCCCGTGTGCGGACAGCCGAGAGGGGGAAGCGAGGGGCAAGCACTGAACCTCGGTCCTTCCCCTCCACGCGCTGCCTGGACCGAGGCGAGAAACGAGGGGGACGAAAAAGCAGCGGCRGCTTCGCGCTGTTCCCCCCGCCCGCCACCGCCGCCACGGCCGCTGAGGGAGGGGGGGTAAGATGGCGCCGCCCGCGCCGGGGAGGAGCCGGTTCCGCCACAGCGGCCGCCCCGCGGTGGAGGCGGGGGCGGTGGCACCTCCCAGGGCGCGGGGAGGAGCCGGGCTGAGGCGGGGCTGCCGCCGCTTCCTCCCGCCCCCGCCGTTCCCTCAGACGGCGGCTCGCTGAATGACCGGTAATTAATGCGGACGCGTGTCTCCAAGGCGTGTGCCATGAGGATATTGCCCGTGTCTGTGCGGTACTGCCCCGCGACAGGTCGAGGAGAAGTGGCCATAAAGTGAAACACAGCAAGTTCCACTTCGACATGAGGAAGAACTTCTTTACATTGAGGGTGGCAGAGCACTGGAACAGCTGCCCAGGGATTTCGTGCATTTCTCCCTCTCTGGAGATGTTCCAATCGCGCCTGGATGCTTTCCTGTGTCAGCTCCTCCAGGTGACCCTTGGCAGGGGAGTTGGGCTGGATGGTCTCCAAATGTCCCTTCCAACGCTAACAATTCTGTGATTTTGTGAATCACACACAATCAGGTTGGAAAAGACCCCTGAGATCATCGAGTCCCACCTAAGACCGATCACTATCTTGTCAATCAGTCCATGTCCCTCAGTGCCACATCCCRTCTTTCCTTGAACACCTCCAGGGATGGTGTTGCAGGTGCTGCCTGAGGGGCCATGGCCACCTTTTCCTTCTCCCTCACTGCGAGGTATTGCCGGAGGGCAGCAGGAAGGGGCTCCAGGACTGCTGTGAGTCCAAAAAGCCAGGGGATTTTGGGGAGGGAGAGCTGGATCTCCCTGCAGCAGGGAAGTGTGGGCGTGCACAGGTGTCTGGCCACAGCACAGGTGCCAGCACATCTCATCTGTGAAGCCACAGCCTTGTACAGGTGTTCAAACGTAGCACAGTGCAAAGAGCAGCGACCTGGGCTTGCTTTCAGCCTTGGAAATACCAGTGGATCCTTACTACAGCCATACCCAGCTGTACTGCCCCAGCCATGACATCAATGGTTCAAAGTTGAGCCAGGGAGGTTTAGGCTGGGCATGAGGCAGCATCTCTTTACTGAGAGGGTGGTCAGACACTGGATCAGGCTTATGGAGGGGTGGTTGGTGCTCTGCTCCTCTCAGTGTAAGAGGCATTGGAACAATSTCATTATGCTTTAACTTTGGTCATGCTGTAAGTTTGGATCAGCCGTGACATGGTCAGGMAGTTGGASTGGATGATTGTTGTAGGTCCCTTCTGTCTGAAATATTCYGTTCTGTGCTGTGCTGGTTCAATGCATTGACATGGTTACATCCACATGTCTTCCTCTGATTCCTGGCTTTCCTCTTCCTAAATCCTGCCAGCTCAACAGGTTGATGGAGAGGGATGTGACTAGGCAAGCTGGAGCTTCCTTTCCTTCCTTTTGTTCCTTTCCTTCCTTTCCTTCCTTTCATTCCTTTCATTCCTTTCCTTCCTTTTAATCTTTCCTTTCTCCTTTCAACCTTTTGTTCCTTCAACACCTCCTAATAGTAGGTTTCTGTGAGTTTAGTTTGGTCATTCTGCTCATCACATGCAGGTTTGTCAGAAGACAGGCTGAGGTGTGCCATGGTATAAAGTAGAACTAMTAAGTGGGACCAACAGAGGTAAATGGAATAATCCTTAAAGCTTTGGAAAAAACCTTACTTTTCTCAAAAGTGGGGGAGGGGGGTGTGAAACTTCAAAAGTTATACTCTGTCTTTTACTTTGCCCTTCTTAGTCCCTTTTTAATTCAAATTCCTGCCTACACACTGAGCAGGATTCATATCATTTTTACTAGGATTCATTCTAAGAAACTAGCAGCTTAGAGACTTCATCATTTGATGTAAGTCCTTGCATTTTACTTCTTTGAGGGGCTGGATAAGGAAAGGAGGAAGAACAAAGCTCTGGCAACCCCTGCAATGATCTTAACACTCTAAGGGCCCTCTGAATTCCAGTTTATTAGAAAGTCCTCTTATTTTCTTATTCCCTTAGCTCACTTCTGCTACCCTTAATTTTGTTTTTTTTTTGGTTTTTTTTTTTTGCTACCACTCACTCCCCATCCTTCTTTCTACTTCATATAAACACTCTGTCAGTCCCCTCTGCATTGCTTCCTCCCTGTTCCCACCTCCCACATCAGCTTCAGAAGRGGTGATTCTGCAGCTCGCTGCCAAGTGCTGCCAGCCCCTCTCCCTTCTGCTGCTGCTGCTTACGATTATGAAAGTAAAGCTGATACCAGCCCGAGCACTGACAGCAACAGGGCAAAACACCAAGATATTATCCCGGAGAATGAGAGGCCTCACGCTGCTGATTCTTGCCTGCACAGCAAAGTATTAAGTCTTTGCTGCAAGGACGATGGCCTGAGCTGTTCCTTCCTGTTACACATTTTAAAATATCTGGGCAACCCCAGCCAAAGCAGGATTATCGATAGGCATTTTCCCAGCCAAAAGGAGAATCAAAACATTCTGTCAAGTTATGAAAGGTACTGCAGAAAAACTTGCGGCGGCTCAGGTTTTTAGCCAAATTCTGTGATTTGTCAAAACCTTGCATTAAACTGAGGGAGGCAAGGCAGCATATTGTTGACATTTCTATGCRTATCTTTATACATCTCAGAATTGGTAGGACAGACTAATAAAAAAMCAGAAAAAATAGAGAAGTTACTATGCCAGTTCCAAATGGTAATTTTAATACCAGAGTTACTGGGATAATATGGTTGAGCATGTCCAGTGTGAGCTACATAACTTCCAGGAGCTTGGATAGAGGCAGTGTGACTTGGTGAGGTGCCTGAAAAAGCACTGACAGAAACATTTCCTGACAAACTGTGTTGCTGTGCAGAACCCCTTCGCCTGCAGTGAGAGGTTACCAGTTCACAAGGGGTTGAAGTTACTGCCCAATGATGAGCTGGGTTGATGAAAGAATATTCACCCTGTTGCCACTTCTATAGGTGATAACTCCTGGCAGAATAATTGAACAAGACAGATACCTACTGGCTATGAAATCTGAAGTTAGTACAAAAAATTATACTAGAAGACAGGAGGAAAGAGGACTGAGGTATCCTTTCTAGTATATTTCTAGCTGATAAAAGTGCAGAGGCACTTCTTGAGTCTGAATTCTTACAATACTTACAGAGAGGGAAAAAAAAACCCTGATCAAGTTTTTGTTATGTATTATACAAAACCAAAAAAGGGCACATACAAAACTGTTTCCCCTTCTCAGGTCACCTTTCAGRWCATGAGGTCATTATAAACTGTCTCAGCACTTTTACAAACTGGAGTCTGCTCAAACCATAATGCTTACAAAGTTTCACTTTGAATAGGCCTGATTTTCTCTGTCATTTGTTTTCACTTTTTATTTCTCTGCAGAACATAAAAAGTCAGAAAAAGATTTTATTTTCCCCCTACATAGCGTATAATTTACATCAATCATCCCAGGAGGTCAGTACCACTGGGGTGTCATTTAAATACAATGAATATAAAGTAATGAAGCTCTTGCTGGAGTGGATGGCCACAATTCTCAGAGAGAGAGAGAGTTTCCAAAGCATGTGGAGAAAACACAACGGGAGACCGAGTGAATTCATCACACCACAAAAATGTCTCCATCCTGTCGACAAAGTCATTAAAGGAAAATGAACCATTGTTACTCTAGACGCTTGCATTCCTTCRGCATAATAACCTCAGTATAGAAGCATTGGGGCAAAGAGAATTTGCACACACAGGAGAAAAAAAAATTCGTTCTATTAAAAAAAAAWAAAAATTCCAGATTATGTAATGAAAGAAATCCTCCATGCTCCAAAGAGGAGACRGAGCCTCTGCAGAAGCCACAACTTATGCAGTGGTACAGGGCGGTTTCTTTTCCTCCTGCCAACAAGTCAAAGTAAATGCCAACCCAGACAATTTTTTCAGATAACCCACAAATTATGTTCTCCTTTAATTACATGGATGTTTCTACCCTTTGCTGATCCATAGCCATCCTGGGTTTTAAGATCCCTTGTTGAGATTTCCCCAGTGCCATTTCCCTTTTCATATTAATTTACTTCCAATATTTTTTTTKGTCTCCACTAAAGCAATATGTGAGGAATGCAGGGATTAGAAAATTTTGCTGTGTTCATTTTTATTTATTGTTTTGGCAAAAGGTGTCCAAATAAGAGCAACTGTCACAGGCATATAGTAAATCACAGCATATACCAGTTTATGAAAATATATTTTACTTCTGTGGGTCTCYGTCAAGGAAATACAACTTTAAAGGAAACCACCATGCAACCCCTGGTCAAAAAACGTAGCTTTAGAGACCTGCAGCAGAAATCTCTCCCTTTATTATAAATTATTCCATGGTGTGGCAAAAGCCTCTTCACCATACTAATTAAAACTGAAACATGCTAATTAAATTACCACCTTTAATTGTCAGAACCATATAGGAATGTAATGRATAGATTATTTTTTTTTATTTTTTTAGTACAAAAGGACTACCTTGATTTAAGCAAATACTGAAAGGGAAATCTGTTCTTATTTTTAGTAACTTCACAGGAATAGGGAGCCTAATAAAAAGAGAGCAGAACTACTGAGGAAACATATGCCAGCAAAAAACTAGATCATACCTGTTAATTACAACAAATATGCTCACAGACAACAGTAAGAATGCTATTTATCCATCATTTACAGCCACTGAAGTGCAGGGAAAGGAATTGGTTTGCTGGCAAATGCCCCAATTAATTGGGCGTGCTATTTATTAGGGCACTGATTAAAGTGTACTCTGCAATATAATAGTTGAGTATGAAGTTGCCAACTCTTATTCACTCCTGGCTCATAGGGATGAAAGCAGGAGGGTAGACTAGCACAATATGAAAATAATTATGTATTCCATGCCAAAATGGATTTGAGACAATTCCAATGCCTGGAAATTAAAGACCTGGAGAGCCAGAATTAGGTAGCACCGTGATCTTATGGACAGAACTTTGTGTTGTGTAATCCAGTTGTGACCAAGACCTTCAATCTGTAGCAGCCATTTTCCACATGTATTAACACTCCTCTCAGAAGCCAACCCCACAGGCACGCCCTTAAGTAAGCAGCATATGAATT